TATATATATATATATATATATATATATAGGATGATGTAATAGTATAAGTTGAATGTCCCAAATTGAATCTGGGCCGATCTGCGATCACAACCTCATTTCGTAATATATTTTCAATATTTTGTTTACAAATCGAAATCCCATGAGATTTGAGGTGTACATTTTTCTCATCAAGGAGCGCCTAAAAAAAATATCAAAAAAATCATTCACAAAAAAAAAAAAACCAAAATACCCCTGAAAGTTTCTGGGGTATTTTGGTCAATTTATTTTTTACGATTTATTTTCTTGATATTTTTATTAGACTCTCATATTTTTAAAGAATAAAGCTCAAATTTTCAAATGATTTGGATTTGTAGAAAAAAATTAAAATTAAAATACGAAATACAATCGTGACCATTGCGAAGTTATTACGAAGGTTAAATGGGATGTGACACGGACCTCCAAGGATGCTATTATCCTAGCTCTTCCGAAGCATGCTTAACTTCTGTTGGGTTCTGGTGACAATAGTGCTGGTATAACTACTACTTGTTCAAGGAACATATAGCTTATCCAACAAGTCAACCAATCATATCAAAGCAAACAATTATTGGTAATTTCATCACTTCTAAGTGGAGTACTGATTATTCAACCCTTCTGTTTTCTGTAAGTAGAGCACAAACCGTTGACTGCTATCTCTTTCTATAAATATGCATGGCTTCTTGGCTTACCATTCAAGAAGTTCTATGTCCTTATTTAAGGTTCTTGAACCCAAGATAAAGCATCATGTTCCAGGTGCATATAACTGTTCATTTTCCCTAAGGAGGTGCCATTTTCTTTAAGTAGGTGAGTGAATCTGAAAGGGTTCTACAATTTTATTTTTCCTTTTTTTGGTTCTGTTCAAGATAATGAAATCAAGCAGAAAGAAGAAGAAATCAAGAGTAGATGGACCGAAAAGCAGTAGCACCCTCAAAAAAAGACAAACACAATGGCAGTAAGTCATTACCATGTCGAACAGATAAACCCCAGTAGCGAGCAAGCCAACATCTCTTGAGAACAACCTCCTCCTGAGATAGAAATCACCTAAAAATCAATCTATGCATTAAAACCACAATTATTACTAGATAACCAATAATGGTGCAAGATAATAGAGCTGTTCTAGGGAAAAAACAAACCATCTCTTCTTCAGTCAAAATCATTCTATGAGTCATTGAGCGGAGAGATTTGGCCTCTGATTCAGCGTCTCGAAGCTGTTCTTCAGATGCCATAGCCTCAGCCCTCGCAGCCTGATCCAAAATACAAAAATATTGATGAACATTGCACAATATATCCTCAACATTAGTGAAGGCAGATAACCTGATAAATAGAACGCAATAGAGGGTAGCAGTGCACAGGTAAATCGTGCAATTCACCTCTACTTCGTCTTTAAGTTTTTCAATTTCTGAATCCTTGACATCTTTGTTTTCCTTTTGAGCTTTAAGAGCAGCCTGGGTCAAAGAACAGAACAGAATACTAGTGATACCAGTCCAGACCGAAAAAAGAAGTTAAACTTGTAGTATCTTTCCCAACTAATGCATTCTCACCTCTTTGCATGAAAAGTTGATGTTAGATGGAGATGCAACAAAAACTTCTCTTGACAAGAAATGACCACCATAACGAACTCAAAAAAAAAAATCACCGGGTCACTAATTTCTAATTTAAAGTTTCCGTCTCAAATTTGAATCATTGTGATCTAGGACCCACCCATAAGGACTTCAGATAGATATCTTTTACTATGAATCAAGTTGTTTAGGTTAAATCAGTTACTCTTGGAGAATTATCCAACGAATTAATCAGGTGCCATTTCAAAGAAAAGATTATTGATTAACAGGAGGCCCTTGTGCACAGAATTAACAGCAAAAGTTTTACATTAAAAGGCTCTAAGTTCAATAGCGCAGAGCACAAGCTACTTTCCATGTACACATTGATTCAGGGTTTCCTTTTGGGATAAGAGTTTAATGTAGCGCATCAAGAAAAGATATAGAGAACCGACTTCTGGTTTGTATATGTATGATCATGTGAATTTGAAAATTGAAATAATTGTTGAGCACGTAACAAGCTTAAAATCCTTATTCAGAAGCTATTTTTTATCTTATAAACTACTCACTTAACAAGCTTAAAATCCTTATTCAGAAGCTATTTTTTATCTTATAAACTACTCACTTAACAAGCTTAAAATCCTTATTCAGAAGCTATTTTTTATCTTATGAACTACTGATAGAAATAAATCACATAGCACTGTACTGAGCATATACTCAATCATATTCAATCTTGTTGCTAATGAACCAAGCCACGAGGATCTCATTAATATCCATTTATGTAATCCAATGAATCACTTGTAATAATCATGTACCAGACCTTTGAACCAGATTGATGTCCAAATCATTCATTATCACAAAATTATAAGACCCAAGCTAGGTATAAATCAAATTGTCAGTCAAGGAAATTACCTCTCTTTGTCGAAGAGCTGCCTCCTTTCTGCCAATAAATCACATTGACGTCATATGGTGAATATTGATGTATAATAGCCAACACATGCAACAGAAAATGCTACCTGCTCAACAGTCGTGCTTCCAGTGATACACCTTCACCAAGTGAAGCGACCTATAAAGAGAACAAAAAATGCTGTTCAGATAAAAGAAAGCAAGAAAACTAAGAAAGCCCTTGAAAGTTCAGAATTAAGACATTGAGACTTCATTTTGAAATGGAGAACTAATAACGTCATTAAATAAACTGTATTCCAGATAAGCATTATCTTGTTGGCAGGGGGAAGAATGTATTTTTCCAATAGCAATGGCAAAGGCTTTAGCCAGATATAATAGCTCATCGTCTAGATATCCATGGCAACTTAATCAGCATAGAGCCATATAAAAAAGGTCAGAAAGGAATAATAATAATAATTCATAGGAAAAATGATATAGTGAATTCTTCATATACCCTTGATGAATTTATAAAAGGTGCACTTTGAATAGTTCCTTTGACTGGATATTATGAGAATTGACTGAAACACAGGATACTACAACACCTATGGTCTCTTTTTGGCTCTAATACCTTTAGGGCTCTCTTGTTACCAGAAAAACCATGAATTGGTTGGAGCGCATTTTCAATGACAGCATATTCATGGCTCGAGTGGGTGTGCCATTTAATAACCGAAGCAAGTGTCTGCCACGCACAAAATGTCATTACTTTAAGTGAGATAAAAACTGAGAACACCAGTTTTCATCCAACTCACTTACTAAGGGGTAGTATGGGTGTGCATTCCAAACTGGGGGTTAGTTACATAACCACAATGTATTTACTCGAACAAAATTATACACATGCATTTTAGTATAGTTTACATAGGCACAAATGTTTTTTCAGTGTAGTTGAAGAAATAGACTTTGAATCGTAATTTAAGGGATTAGAAACCAAAAATGCCTATCGAAGTTTACGTTTCAAACTAACTACTATAATTTATACACAATGGAGAAGCCCCAAAATATGTTTATGGTTTCTCATGGAGGTTCTGAAATAAAACTCATTTACAGCACTTCAACAATTTTTTAGTTTTATTAGCTAACTTTATCAGCTTAAAGTGAAGAGTACAGTCAACTAGCCTCAGGCTAGAGAAAAGTACAAGGAATGAAGTAAGTGTGGAACCAAAGACATAGAGAAAGGAAGAAAAGATGAGAGAGAAGAAAAAAAGGGAGAAAACATGAGAAAGATGTCAAGGCAACATCTCAACTTGAATTGTCACTGCTCTATACTACCACAAAATCCCATCCCCTCATTGGCCAAGGAATCAACCTCTACATTAGACTTCACTACAACAACTCATTCAATGAAACAAGTCCATATCATCATTAACCCTCTAAATATGCATAAATTTTTAAAAGATCAGGATATTTTTACAGCAAAGCTTCATCGTGCTATAGCATGAGAAATTGAGAACCAGTAGGGTGATTATAAAACCTGTAGTGCAAAAGGATTCAAATGAATAAATGACAAACAAATGATAAGATATCAATAATGGCACCTGTTTCTCAAGCTCCCTGGCTCTAGCATCTGCTTCTTGACACCTCTCTTCTGCAAGTCGAAGCTGGATAGAAAATTTCAATAGAAGTGTATGTGCATCAGAAAATAAAAAATTTTCGGGCATAGGTAAGTACACGAGAATAAATCATTTTCTTCCAATAAAAGCTGGCATTATCAAATATTCTTTGGAAAAGGAAGTGATACACACCTTATCGAAAAGGTTCTCATTCTCTTCTTGTAACATATCAAGCTGTGAAATCAGCCCAAGTCAGTTAATCACAATACAAAAGTATAAGGAAACTATGCATAGTCACTGATATTGATATTGCACTTTTCAAGCATATTTGCCCCCCCCCCCCCCTTCCAGAAAACAACCACAAAAAAGAAACCTACACTTGGAAAGTGTCATACCTCATCTTGTAGAGCAGAAGCTTCACGTTGATTTCCAGCATCCCGAATTCCAGCTTCCCGTAAGTTTACATGTCCAACATCTCGTGTGAACCTAGAAATTTAATTGGCATCTTAAATAACTCCATCACAGAAACAGTAGTTTCCGGACTATTAAGAATAACGAACAAAATATAGGATATACATTACATGAAGAAAAATACACAGGCAGGGCACAACCATCCATAGTTCCATACAATCATTGGAGATAAATCATAGTTTTCCATGAATGACAATCATCTTCATACTGCAGTTCATGTCCAGTGTCCATCTTGAGAACAGACATTTGATTGCCCTACCTGTCTATTGTATGCCATAATTTCTATTTCTATGCCATACTGTCCCTAACATAACCAACAGTATACTAATTAGCTGTCTCATGCCTCATATCCCATTTCATGATAAACTAGTAAAATAAGATTTGCTCATCAGTCATCCTCAGTATGAGAAAATAGATAAGATTGAAATAATAAAAAAACACCCTTAGGGTTATAAATGACAATACTATCCCTGATTGCAATCGTCCTCGATAACAGTAATACAGAACTAAAACCCTCGTAAATTCCACAACAAAGAAATAGAAAGGTGCATATAACTCTCTCGCAACAATAACTCAAACTATAGCATGTATAGAACTGACATTTCATTGATGTCCAGTTTGGATGCAGTTTATAAGTTGCTGCATCAAGCCAACCAAGTCCCCTTGATTTACTACTATAGATAAACACGCCATATGCCTTAGATAAGCATGCCACACCGAGCATGAACGAGAAGGGTCCGGATGTATATATAGCTGCACAATCTGTGACTTGGCCCTCAGGATTTAGTCTATCTCTGATAAGCATTGAAGACGTAATGCAAGGGATAGTCAATGCTGTAGAGTACCTTTGCTCAAAATAAATCGCAATCCACCTTACTATGCTTCTTTCCTATAACAGAAAACAGGAATAGCGAGCAAAGGGGTAGAGAATTACATTTACATTTGGAGTCTAGCCATTAGCGCCTAAAATAAGATGCTCTCCTAAAATATACAAGAGCCACTCATAAATCGCCTGGAATGATTGCATCTAAGGTCTCAATATGTATATGCAGTCAATTGAAGATAGATAGAATATGATCTGTGAAGTGATATGAAACAAGTCCATAACCCAGCATTGATTTGATGCACTTGAGAATTGATTACTGACTCTCATGTGCGATATCAATGATCAAGGAGACTGCACAAACTGAGAAAAAGAAAAACCTTAGATGCATGAATATGCATGGTCTAGTAAAGGAAAAAAGAGAAGCCCATGTGCGATATCAATGTTCAAGGAGACTGCGCAATCTGAAAAAAAGAAAAACCTGAGATGCATGAAATATGCATGGTCTAGTAATGGCAAAAAGAGAAGCCCACCAATTAAACACAATAAATGCAATGGAAATTGAATGCCAAAAACCATCTAGGAAAATTTTCTTTTAACTCTGCTGCAACCAACTGATCAACTTTGAAAACAGTTCATTTATCCAGCATTTTCCATTTTGACTTAATCCAATGCTACTTCATGCAACACATGGTTACAGTTTTTTACCTTCATTAGGTAATGGACATCTCAACAAATTCTGCTAAACTCAGTAAAATGAAGAGAGTTACAGTCAGCTAAGATTTCAATAACCAAAATCTCCAAAAGTAGAGTGAACACGATCAATCACTAAATCTCAGAAATTCTCATTAACAAGCTACTTATGAGAATCTAACAATCCAGATAATTAATGTCATCTCTCTAAATGACAAGGTCAAATCCAAAACCTTGAGACAGCAACAACTCCTGAAGAATAGAATCAGACAGTAACAACCTTCCCGGTAATTTTCGAAATAAGAAAGAGACCTTGTTGGAGGAAATAAAAGAGTTGGATCCCATGAAAGAATATAAAAACATAGTAACAGCTGAAAGGACAAGGAGGATAGAGACCAAAGCAAAATTTCAGAATATCCTCAAATAGGAGGAAATTTTTTGGTACCAAAAGTCTAGAGTAAAGTGGCCTAGAAAAGGGGACAGGAATGCCGTTTTTTCCACCAGATTGCAAACTCTCGTGGGAGAGCAATTACTATCCTCCAAATCAAATGAAGGAGATAGAATCCACGAGGAACACACTGTGATTGGTAGGGTAATTACTAGGTACTTTGAAAAGCTCTTCTCTGCCTCCATTCAGGCTGATGCAGAACAAGATGATTCATATTTTTTATTATTTTTTAATTAATCTCAGGAATGTATTTAAATTTTCATATCTTTGATATCTTCTGTCAATTCTACAAATTGTAGGCTAAGCCTAGAATTTCCAACATTCCTTTCCTTCAGCTGCCTGGGGAGAAAGCTGATTGGGGGGTGAGACCACTTTCAGGAGATGAGATCTGGAATGCAGGGGCGGACCTAGGTCAAGACAAGGCTGCAAGCCCTGATAACTTCCTAGTTTCCCTGCTCCATAAGATTTAGAATACCCTGGCTCCCATTGTACTTGCTTTTTTCCTCCAGGTTCTTTCAGAGAGGTACAATCAATAGTGGGTTGAATGCTACATCCATAGCTTTAATATCTAAGTTGGAGGGGCAGGGGTGTTGAAAGATTGCAGGCCTATACGCCTGTGTAACAGCCCCTAAAAAGTAATGCTGAAAATGCTGGTTTTTCTTATGCGATTAGTTTTAAACCATGTCACCTCTCCCACTTGAGAGGCCTTTGCACAGGATTGCCGAATCTTGGATGGTGCTTTAATTACTCACAAAGTTATTCACACCAGATGCCAGGCCCTATTCTTAAACTCTAAGTAAGACAAGGTTTATGATCAGGTGCACTGGGAAATCCTTGTATCAAGTGCAACATTTTACGGGTTCCAGCAGAAAATGGAGGTCTTGGATCGGGGGAAGCATTTCATCCCCTTGGTTTTTGGTTATAAACAATGGACCACTCAAAGGTTTTCTTTTCACCACCCTGAGATCCCTCCACCAAGCAGACCCATTATCCCCATTCTGGTTTGCCATTATGGCTGAGTTTTCAGCCAATCCATCTCTAAAGTTTTCTAATAGAACATGTTTCAAGGCTTCAAATCAGATAGGAAGGGCCCCTATATAAGCTAATCCTCCATATGCAGATGACACCTTAGTCTTTTGTGATGCCAACACATGACAAATCTATCAATTTCAAAAACAAAAAACACATGACAAGTTGACAACTTGTGGTTGTTCCTCAGGTGTTTGGGATTTACAAAGATTCAAAATAAAAATGGAAAAAAAGCAAACTTATGGGGGTCAGGGTAATGCCTGGAAAAAGGAATGGAATTGGCCAAGAGACTCGGTTGATGCTCTACCCTTTAGTATAAAATCTCCCTCTTTGCATTGGCAAGCCACAGAAGGCACAATGAGTTACGGTGGTAGAGTGGTTCGAATGTAGACTAGAGGCTTGGAAGTGTAGATTCATGTCCCTAGGAGGCAGAATCACCTCCATCAAACTGTCAAAGTGACACTTACAATTATCCCAGTTTCTCATATCGCTGTTTAGAATGCCGATTCCCATCTCAAGTTGCTTAGAGGATTTTATAAGAGACTTTCTGTGGTAGGCATGGAAGGGAACTTGTGGCATCACGTTGTCCAACATAGGTATGGGCTTGATAACTATTGCTCGCTACTGAAGGGCTCAGCCAAAGAAAATGATTTTGGAGCTTGCTAAGAGATATCTCATCATAGTCAGGTTTTGTTGCTAAAATCTGATTCAAGGTTAAGGGAGGAGGAGATAGGTATGCGGAAGGATTTGTGGAAAGGCGACTTTACCTTGGAGACAGTATCTCCAAGGTTATTCTAAATACCAATGAATCAACAGGCCACGATGGCCCAGTCCCACAAAGTCATCAGTGATCAGCTGGTCCAGTCCCCCAGGTTGAGGAGGGTATTTATCGGACTATAAAATACCAAGAGTTCGAAGCCCTTGGACCTACTAACATCCCATTATATATTGTAGTCGGGCAGGGACAGCATTGTTTAAATCCCTGCCTCTAATGGCTCCATTTCGCTGCATCTAATTCCCGAGCCCTCACCCACAGTCCTATCCCCTCAATAGTAGCCTACAAAGCTTGGTTCTCCTCTGCCCCACTGAAGATGCAGTCCTTCAACTGGTTGGTCCTATCGAAGAAAGCCATGATATGCAACCAATTACATGGGAAAAATCTAGAACTACCAACTGCTGTGTAAGGTGCAAAGAGGCAGAGGAATCAATCGACAATCTCTTTTCTGCCCAGTGACAAGCAAAATATGGGCCTCACGGCTAAAGATCTTTGGGTGGGGGCATACTACCACAATCAGTTGAACAACCATTCTTGGCATACTTCTCCCTCCTCGGGCTACTATATTGGAAACAGGGGTATAAGATCTTAGAGAGCCGATAGTCTCCAGTGGAGAGTTGAGGATCAAATCTTTGTTGACATGATCTTTGGGCAAGAAATATAATGTGTTTTGGACTTTCTCCATGGAGAACTCCACAACAAACTGGAAGGCTGCTCTAGCCCTATGACAATTCAATGATCATACCACCAGATCCTGCCAGAGCCTGGGTCGTCAAATTGAAGGTTCATAGCTGCTCACTCAACAAATTTCGCCAAGCAGGATCAGAGGACAGTTTAGAAACAACTTGATATGGGTACTGTTGACGTCCTCGGCTCCTATTGAGACACTGCTAAACTCTACAACTGCAGAAGAGCTGGCTTTCTTGGAAGGATTGAATGAAACTTATCCACAGTAGATGAGATCTCTCTCTTTATGTCAAAGGAGGCCCTACTATGTTAACTCTTGGGCTTCAACGGCAGCCCCTTGTCCCTGGCGATTAGAGCCTATATTCAACAAAATATTTGGGATCACCAAATCATAGCAAGTAACATTTCAGCATTCTTGGAGAGAGGCAGAGATGGCAGCGGATGCCTAGCAAAAGAAGGAGACCGTGGGCCACAATTTTGTTATTAACACAGCCAACTATCTGGGCTTAAATCATAGTGG